GTCATAAAAGTCTCATATCCATCTTATTTCAAATTATCATATATTCTTTTATGTCCTGCACAATCTCAGCAACGTATCATGTTCTCAATTGTCATTAATTTTCTGATGATATCCAAATCTACATTTCCGGCCCTTCTCTCACTTTTGAGCTTAATATTCATATATCCAATTACCTTGAGTATATTTCTACAGTACACTTGGTCACTACTTCCCTTGTTGTGGGATTACTTAAAGGGACCACAATCATCTTATTCAGATGAAAAACTCAAGACCTAGAGAAGCTAGATGTGACAAATGCAGACTAAAAGGGAAGGGAGAGCAGGCCGGAGAGACTAAAGAGAAAAATATTTTTTTGGAGTTACTGTGTGCCAAGCTCTGTGATAGAGCATCACATATTGTGAAGATCAAATATAGTAAGAACCCTATGAAATATTATTGTACCCATTATGAAGTAACTGATTCTTTGGCAAAGTGCTTTATTCAGGAAAGCAAAGCTAGTAGGTAGAGAGTTCAAATTAAGATCTAGGTTTCAACTTCTGTATCAACAGTCCTAAATTACCAAAACATTTAATAATATCTGTTTTCATATAAAAGTTATAAAGGTTATGTCTAGAATATAAGAAATAATATGTAAACAAATGTAATTTTAAGTGTCTATTAGAATTATTTTAAATTTCCATATGCAGAGTGAAGAAGTTTCATAGGTAAAAATTTTTTAAGTTTTTTTTTGTAGGGGGGAAGGTAATTAGGTTTATATTATTATTTATTTACTTTTAGAGGAAGTACTGGGGATTGAACCCAGGACTTCCTGCACGCTAAGCATGCGCTGTATCACTTGAGCTATACCCTCCCTTCTTAGATAAATGTTATTCTAAATTTATTCAAGAGTTTTAGATTAAGGTGACGGATTGAATATATGTATTTAATACTGTTCCCTCCTGAAACTCCAATAAAGGGAAGGGAAAAAAGAAACTCCTTTTTATAAGAGGCATAAACAGGAGATCAGAAGACAGGACAACTTAATTTTGGAAGCTGGAAAGCAGAAGAACAAGAGCTAAGAAAGAGACTTGGAGACCTTTCCACCAAGTGTTAAGAAAAGGCTCAAGATATCTGCATTTAGTATTTAATGTTCATAGAGTCAGCCTGATATAAGCCAGAAACCACATGACAACTCTGCCAGGCATCTCCTCTGCTTTACTCTCTCAACAGAGAGTGGAATTCCAGAATGCTGAAACTTCTAGGTTTATAGTAATTCATGAAGTCTAATTTAATGGAGCAGAGGTTCTCAAGGTGTGGCCCGTGTACTAATAGGGCAAAAGCAATGGTGTGTAAAACATGTCGTTTTACCCACAAATCAAGTGACATGAACTGTACTAGTAGTTACTGTGTTCCTTACTATCACACATTTACAGAAAAAGAAAAAAAGCCAGGTTTCACTTAACAATGTCCTTTATGAAGCAGTTAAGATGATTAATTTTATTAAATCGCAACCTTTGTGTATATGTCTTTTCAATATTCTGTATAACAAAATGGGAAATAGAAAGCATTTCTGCTGTATCCTGATTTAATGGTAATCCAAGGAAGAGCACCTGTATACCTGCTTGGGTGAGGAGTTGAACTAGATGCTTTTTCCATGAAACACCATTTTTACTTGAAAGACAAACTATGGTTATCCAGAGTTAGGTATTGGCAGGCATGTTAAGAACCTGAATGAAGTGAGCCTGCTCCAAGGAAAACAACTGACAGTATTTCTTGCAACTTATAAAATTCTTTCAAGCAAAAAGTAGAATTTTGGAAAACTTATATCCATTACTGTAAGCCTGACAGTTTCCTCATAAAGGATTTTCTGATGAGATAGGTGGTGACATTAATAAACATGATTTTCTGATATTGTATAACAAAACATATCAACATTTAGAAGATCTGTAAAACTAAGTGACCCCAATTGTTTTCTATATGATGATGCATGAATAAAAAGATCTATCCAATGTGAATTTTAGTGAAAAAGAGTGAAATGAAAAGTTCACTGATATGGTTTGAGATTCTCACTGCAACAAACCTTTAAAAAATTATTACTTGTTGAGTGTTGTTGCAGTATCAGAGTAGATGTCCACAATCAAGCAAAAAAGGTATTAAAATACTCTTCCTTTACAAATTGTGTATCTGTAGGAGGCCTTGTTTTTTATATATACTTTAAACAAAACAATATATAACAATTGAATGCAGAAAGTAGATATTAGAATCCAGCTTCCACTAACCCAGACATTAAAACTACTTGCAAAAATGTTAAACAATGTCTTTTTCTCACTTTGTTTTGAAAATAGTTTTAAAACATATTTTTTATGTTAAAATGTATTTGGTTTACTTTTAGTTTTAAATGAATATATCTATATTTAAAATTTTTATTTTAAATTTTAACATAGTAAATATTGGTAAATAAAACCCACATAAAGAAATCTCTTTGGGGATGTGAAATCAAAATGTTTGAGAACTGCTGTAACAGAGAATAAACTGTATGCTTCCTTAAAAAGCTGTAAACTATTTATGAGTGAAATGGGATTTTTTTCTTTCCACTTGATTTCTTGTAACATTTATTGAGTATGCATAATACTAATATGTTGATCATCTTAAAAGAAGTAGCATAACTTAAAAGCAATTTTGGGACAAGAAACAGGTATGATGAATATAGCTACTGATAACATCCACAGTATCAAAAATAAAGCTTACCATAAAAAACAAAGGTTATTTTCAAAATTAACCACTTACTTCTCCACCAAGGACTCTGGCCAGTAAGAAAATTGTTAGTGAACCAAATATCCAAATAGTTATAATCCATGATACCACCTTAAGAGAAAAAAAAATCATGCAATTAATATCTGTGTATCAAATAAGTTGATAATTTCCCATGAACTCAATTCTCTGCCATATAAGATAGCTTGGTATACTCAATTTCAGGTCATAGAGAGTTTGGATTCTCAGGTATCTTTCCAAAACTTAGTAAGAATATTTGTAATACAATTTTAAATCCAAATTAAAAATTTAGCAGTGATCAACTGCCTAAGGAAACCTCAGTATTTCAAGATCTATGAAAAAAGATTACTGTAAAAAGGGAACAAAATGTTGACTTCTGACCTTCTGGGTTTGTAGAGCTCTGCAAGGAAAATTCATCCCTGTAAACAGTTACCGATCTTCTCAGGAGGACTTTAAAATTTACATTAATTACACATTTATCCAAGTAATAGAATATGGGAGACATTTGGACAATTTTAACTCCTGAGACTTAGCATAATAATGATACATGCATATACTTCCAAGTTCTGCCAGAACTTAGGGGGGATCGAGAAATAATAACACCCAATAGTAACACAAGCACACTATTGCCCAGATCCTGGTTTCTAAATATTCCCCAATAAATGAAGAAACTGTTGATTCCAAGGGTGGGGCAGTGAGAATAAAAGATAAGCCCAGAACACTTTATGGAGTCAGAAAGAAACAAAGTGCGAAAAAGGATGGGAATATGTCAAAAGGATACAAAAGCTAACCTGAAGGAGCTCCCATGGGCTAAAACTGGAACAATCTGAGCAATAAACTAAGTTATAGCACTGGATATAATCCAGAAAATATACATATGCATGAGTCCATACTAGCAAAAATAAATAAACAGTTAAGTAATGGCAAAGACAGAATAGCTATTCCAAAGAGAACATCAATCAATATATGTGAAAGGAATGAGGAAAATGACCATTCAGTATGCAATACAGTAACAACCGGTGCATGTCACATTCATAAATAGATGCTAAAATTAGTGGGCTGAAGTTTGATGAGGATGTTTGCATAGTCTAAAGTATCTTCACAAGATATTTATTAAAAAGGGAAAAATAGCAACTTTACAGTGGAGGAATTGAGCAGATACCAGCCCATCACTTAACCAAGTGATCGATGCTAATAGTGCCAGGAATACAACATATTAAAATCATGTAATCCTTGATAGCATGCAGAAGGGCACAATGTCACTTCTGTGGTATTCCTGTCCAAAATGTATGACCCCAATCCAGCCCTGAGAAAATATCAAGCAAAGCCAAATTGAGAAACACCTTATGGAAGTAAGAATCTTCTGTTTTTAGCCTTAGAATCCTTTGTTCAAATTAAAGATTGTATGAAATAGATAAAAATCATGGAGAGATGTTCACGTAAAGATGTTCTACATGAAGGCTTGGAGGTGGGTAGGAGTCCAGAGCCCCCATTCAACTTCTTCAATGATCCTTATATCTTCAACAGAGTATTTGCTATAAACTACTGATCTAAGGTAAATATTAATACAACTAGTGTTATATAACATTAAGGATCTTGCTATGGGGAGATTACTCTGGATTATCTGGTGTGCACTAAATGTAATCACAACTGTCCTTAAAAAAAGGAGGCAGAGGAATATTTAGCTACAGTAGAGAAGATGGCAATGTGATAATGGAAACAGAGATTGCAGTGACGCAGTCAGAAATCAAGGAATGTTGGTAGCCTCTAAACATGGGAAGAGACAAGCAACAGACTCTGTCCTGGAAGCCTCCACAGGAAACAACCCTGACATGATTTTAGCCCTTTAACATTCAATTTCCAGGATTCTAACTTCCAGGACTGTCAAAGAATAAGTCTGCATTATTTTAAGCCACTAAACTTGTGGAAATCTGTTATAGCAACAATAGGAAACTAATTCATTTCCAAATCACTCTCTGGTAAAGACTTATTTTTTACTCCTCTAAAGCCTTAAACTAGGGATGAGGGAGTGATATTAGTTTCTGTTGTGTTTTGATGATAAAGCCCCTGAGGATAGGACAAAGAATTATATAAAACCAGACACTGATGGAATCCTTGTCATTTATTAAAAAGTTTATTTTAAATAACAGAATGAAAAATGAATAAAAGGTGATTATTAGTATTGTGTTTCAAACTCTTTATCCCTTGAGGAAATCAACCCTTTCGGTCACTTCTGCTCAGCTAGAGCAGTCACATCCATTTATGCATTTACTATACAAATATTAGTAATTTTTATGTCAATGATGATGTAGGAGAGTTTAGAAAGTATTAATACAAGGCACTCCTCAATTAAGAACAGTTCTGACTGTAACTCAATAAAAAAAATGTTAAAAGACAAAAAAACAGTTCTGGGGAAAAACAAGTGAGAAATAATGGGTAAAGCTAAAGCATTTCTCAAACAATGAAGTACTATAGTTAAAACATGTCTATTCTGAATTTTAAAACTCTTAAAATATTTAGAATTTGTAAGATATACTTACCCTAAATTGTCCATATAATGATATCATGGAAAAGAAAAGTACAACAGCCAGAGGACCCCAAAAGTCAGGATTGTCTCTCACCACTTGTCTATTAAAACCAAGAGATGGCATTGGCATCAAAACACATCGAATTTTGTAGTAAATATCCTTCAGATCGATATCCAATTCTTCCCTGTAATTTAAAAATAACAATTCCTAAAAGGCACACATTTTTGAATACTGAGACAACTGCAGTAAAATAAATACAAGTTTAAATATAATGGTATAGTCTCCATAGGTCAATAAAACATTTTCATTTGAAGTACCACATTTCACTGGTTCCAAGGTGTACATATGCAACATTTCAATATCTCTAAAGTTGGGATGTATCTCACAATTGCTAGTGTCTTACAACTGTAAGACAGCTAAGTCAGCCTAGAGTAAAGCCAAGTGCTTCCAAGATCTGCCTTTCCTTTTGCAGAGTCTCTTGGAGGCACTACTAATTTGGGACCTTAAATAAAATTCTCTACTTGAGACTTTTTTGGGCCCATACTGATCAGACTGCAATCTTATATGACAGCTGGTATGAGATCTACATTCTCATGGGAACTTTCTCTTCCAGCACCCCACCAATTGCCAGACTGAAGCAAGCAAACTTCCTTGCTGTCTCTTTTTATATGGTAAGTTACTTCTCATTTACCCTTACACTAAGGAGAGAAGATAGTCCCTTGATGTCTTAGCTTTATGTTGTCTTAGGTACTTTTTCTTTCTTACTGATAGGTACTTTTTCTTTCTTACTGATAAACATAAAATAACTGCATTTTATAATCCACACCATCTTAGATTTGATGAAATACAGTATATTAAGAAACAGGATGTGTTAGCACTTGACTGACCAATAATTACTACAGAGAATAACTTAGTAATGCCTCTATTTTTATAAAGCTATAGATACTTCTTTCCAAAATTGTTAAATACTTTTTCCCCCAAATGACACATAATCACATAATAAATTTCAAGTACTATGAAGAAAGTGAAGGTATCCCTATAGTATTCCTAGTGGTAGCTCTAGAATTTCCATATGGGAGATAGTTTGGAGTGGTAATCTTTTTTTAACTCTTAATCTGTCTTAAACTCGATTTCCACAGCAAGCACACAAGCACTCTGCTTTTTTTTTTACTTTCACTGAATGTTTACTTGAGATACCTATAGACTAAGGTTAAGTCCTAGCAGTTTGGAATATATTTGTGTGTGATATAAGATTATGATTCTTTTAATGTTTGCCATTCAGTAGATTAAAAATATTCTCTCATAATGTCAGTTTCACTAATTACAGCTGACTCTTGAACAATGCACCGGTTATGGGCACCACTCTCCCTATACAGTCTAAAATCTACATACAGCTTTTGACTCCCCCAAAACTTAATTACTAATAGTCTACTGTTGATCAGAAGCCTTACCAATAACATAAACAGTCAATTAACACACATTCTGTATGTTATACGAACGTCTACATATATTTTATGCATTCATGACATACCTTTTAATTTTTTCAATAAATCTAGGCTATGTGGTTCATCTGTGAGTTTTCTCAAATTGCTGTGAATCTCCACATTTTTTCCCAATATATGTGTTGGAAAAAGTTCACATATAAGTAGACCCACACAGTTCGAATCTATGTTGTTCAAGGGTCAATTGTATAGTAAAACTGAAAACAGCTAAAACTTTAGACCAAAAAGGTTAAGATTTTTCCATACTTGTCTTTAAATAATACCAAAGAATATAATCATCCCACAGACTAACTCTAAAAACCAAAAATACATATTATTTTTACATACAGGAGTGGTTTGTTATCTTCAGGGTCATCATCTTCAACTTCCAAAAGCCAGCCATATCCTCTTTGTCTCAGAAACGTAGTAGCTGTAGATTCTTTGATAAAATCTCCACCAAGGTTTAACTTGACATCTGGGGATGCTATTGAACCACTGAGATCTTAGGAGAAAAGAGGACAAAACTATAAACCAAGATAAAATACAAGTCCTAGCCAACATGAGTATGTACTCAACTAAATAATTATCATTTGAAGATCTCTAAGTATTAACATCTGAAACTGCATACAATCCTCGTATTTGATAGTTGATAGTGCTGAAAACAAGGAAACAGGCCTCAAATGGAGTCACATATGCTAAGCACCATGTCAACGAACTAATTAATTATAGTTTTGGCCTCTTCCAGAAATGGAATCTTAAACCAGTGAATCAGCAATCACCTGGTCAACACTAGTAAGTTAATCTGCCTGAAAGACCCCTGCAACTTCCTAAAGGAAAGGGACTTTGCCACAACAAATCCACTTTTTGCTAGTTTAACTTCCTTGTCCTGCTCCTGTCTGCCTATGAAAATCTTTCATTTTGTACAGTTCCCTTCTATTTGCTAGATGGGATACAGCCTAGTTCATGAACCACTGACTAAATCAATAAAAATTGCTGAAATTTACTCAGTTGAAGTTTGGTTTTTTTAACAATAGATATCTAAAACCACCTTTTATTTTTACAACAAGAAAATGAAAAATGAGAGGTGAAGACATATGAAAGATTACACAGCTAATTAGGTAGACTGGTGCCAGAATCTAGGCTTACAACAATAACTTTAAAATTTAAATGGAAGATATATACAAAATATACTACAGGATATCATTCTGGATTCCCTTCATTACTATGTACACTATGTGCTTCAGAACAAACTAACTGTATAAAGGCATTATATATTTATATATATAAACCATTAGACATTATTTGCTAAAGGAAAACTAATTTCCCCCTATTTTTAAATGTATTTATTCATACATTCTTTCATTTAAATCACCAAATATCTATGCTAAGTGCTTCATATATTAATGCTTAGCTCTGGATAAATCTAACTAGAAAGAGTTCCTGATAGTTCAGCTAATTTTTTCTTTATATAAATTACATCATTTGTCTTTTGTTTTGGCAAAATAAAGGTGATATTATTTATTTATTTTTTTGTCAGTTCTAAAAAGCAGTGAAGAGATTCCATTATCTACACTACAAAATAAATTCCATTCAGTCTTACCAGTGAGTGCTCTAGAGGTTACAGATAATCACAAATGCCACATTTTCTAGTGAAAAAAAAAGGGGGGTGGATAGTAAAAGACTTGCCTAAAGTCATACAGGAATTAGGGAAAAAACACCTCTGTAGAAGCAGATAATATGCACTAGTAAACAACCATCAATGTTGTTAACTATAAGTCACAAGACTGCAGTGGTATTTTAGAAAACAATTTTGGCAACAGCAAAGCAGAACATTCTTAAGACAGACTCCCCTTCCCTGGTAATGAAAGACAGTATACAGAAGAGCTTAATTTGCTCATTACCCTAAATTCTAGGTTAGCTTTTGAGAACTGCCATTAAAATTTTGGCTTAAACTTCAATCAATGAGTGGCTTAATTAAGAGTCACATCATGATCTGATTCTGATAACTCCCATAATTAATTACAATAAAACTTTCATTCTGAAACTAAGTCCCAGCTTAGCTACTAATTAATACAGTAAATCATTAATGTCTTCTGATCTCCAGTTTCCTATTCAAAGTTCTTTCCAAGTTAACATTATATAATTCTAAAAAGCTTTTATAACGGAGTTTATTCAGCTAGAGATAAAATGCAAGTACTTTTGGATTCACTGTCCTTCCCTACTTAAAGTGTAAAAATAGTTGCCGTGGATGCTAATTGTGCTAAAATTTTGTGATTAAAATATTCTCTCAAAATTATTTTCTGCTTCTTGGTCTTAACCTCAGTTGAAAATTAAAGAGCTGAATGAAACTTAACTAAAATTCTACTCCCAATAGGTACAGTGTCTTTTCTTGATTAAACAAGAGGAAGACTTAGATCAGGAAGTCATTAGTACAGCAGTGACATTAAAGGTTTTGGAAATATGAGGCAGGAAAGGACCTTAACAACTGTTTCCTGGCCTCTAGAAAGGACTGCACTTAACATTCTTAATCTAAACCAAAAAAGGATATATAAATTATGCTAAGGAATGCTGTGATAAAGAATTCTATGTGTTTAGCAGTTTGTCACAGCATGGATGTAGAACTTCAAAAATGCACCTTTAGCTTACAATTTTGTAGTATTTTCTACTCTATGCAAGTAAGAAAATATCATGGACATGAGTAGGAGAATGTCAGAAAGACTAGTTTGACACATTCCTCAGTTCCTCCAAGACACAACTAGATGTAGATACAAAAGAGCCATAGAAAAGTAAAAAAAAAAAAAAAAAAAAAAAAAAAAATCAGGAGTTAGCCTAATAGGTGAGCAACTTAACACACAAAAAATGTTGGAAAACAATGAGAAAGATTCCAAATCACTCCAGGAGCACAGCTCTCTTACATTAAACCAGACTAAGAACCAGCTAGCTTAATTGTCAATTCTAGGATAGGTATTCAGAATTATAAAACATTACTTTTAAATTACTTCTTTCTTACTACACTATGTATAATATTCTTCTCATTTTCTAAGTTAAAAACAACGTAAAAACAATAATAAATATAACTGAACTTAAGAGGAAATAATCTTTGAAAAAAATACTGCAAAAATACACTTAAAAATGTTTCCACTGCTGTTTGGGCTCAGAGTAGGGAAGAATATCAGCAAGTTCCAAGTTTCACTGAAAGCCACCTGAAAAAACTGCAGAAAAAAATTTAACAGTAATTTCCCCCCACCCTTTCAACTCAAGTGTATTACTGGGTGAGGGATTCTTTCTCTGAATCTTCTACTCAGCCTGAGAATTTCACTTTGAAGAACTTGGTCAGTGCAGTGTGATAGTATGCTCAGGATGAGACTTACTGATCTGCCTCGAGACAAGTTCTTGATTTTTATGAAAGAAGAGTAATGTGCAGTAAATATGAACATTTTGTTCGTACTTGCCAACTTCTTATATTTGTGAAGAAGCTTTTTCTTATTCAACAAGCAAAGAGCAAGGACAAAAGTCATTCCATTTCATTTCAATGAAAATGAAATGAAATCCATGTGTGCTTAAATCTAAACCAGAACTGACTATGTGCAGCAAAACAAAACAACCACATTTCACACTGGAAGGACAAATTCCACTGTTCCATTTAGTCTATAAAAACATTTTAATGCATATAAAGGCCAATGAAAGAGATCGAGAAACCAATATGATGTACATAATGATTTTATAATGGCTAGATCTACATATTGGAGCTTGACCATGTTACTACATAAGAAAAAAATGTAAAGGCTTATATAAAATTGTGTCCTAGGTTATATTTTTACTCTTTTTTTTTGGTTTTTATTTTAGTACCTTTACTATTCAGGACTGCCAGTTAATTTTCATATTGCACACAATATTAATTAAATCAATTAAGTCTCCTGAGCCTATCCTTAGAAAAATTAAATCTCATTTTGGTATAAACCAGTTATTTAACAGAAATTTCTTTTATTTGCTTTGAGTCTTTTAGCTTTTTTATTTTGAAATAATTTTAGATTTATAGAAAGTTGCAGAGAAGATACATGTACCCTTTACCCAGTTCTCTCCAATGGTACCATCTTATATACTATCAAAACCAGGACACTGACATTGCTAGTCAATAGACCTTACTCAGATTTTACCAGTTTTAAGTCCACTTATTTGTGTGTGTGTATAAAGTTCTATGCAATTTTACCACATTTATAGATTTGTGTAATGCCTTACATGTTTAAAATTTATGAAAAGAAATTTTTTTGAAGATAAAGCTTGCTCAATGACCTTTTTCTCTCCCAAAGAAAGGCTGACTAAAAAGTCATTTTCAATTTTCCAATAGGCAAGAAAAGCTATTCTTCCACTCATTATATATCATACTTCATGAGCATGTTGTATAGACTATATTTGTGATAATACCTCCATAGATATAATTTTTTAAAAATCAAGTAGGAAATTTTTAAAAATGAAAAACTAAAGATTCCTCTATCAACACTACTAAATTGTATTAGAGATGATATCCTTCCTGGGGAGGAAGAACGTCACACAAAGCAGGCTAAATGGCCACTTTAATACCTTAAGAGAAAATTTGCCTACACAAAAAAGCACTGACAATAATTACTGCAGCATTATGTCTACAGATTACTGATCACAACAATGTACTATGAGTTGTAAATACTATCATTTTCACATAGGAGTATCAGTCTTTTCAGGCTGCTGTAACAAAACACCATAAACTGGGTGGGTGGCTAATAAACAACACACATTTGTTTCTCAGGGGGTGGGTCTAGCTCAGTGGCAGAGTGCATGCTTAGCATGCACAAGGTCCTGGGTTCAATCCCCAGTACCTCCATTCAAAAAACCCCAGGAGATGTTGTATATATACAGGAATATGACTTAGCTACTAAAAAAAATGAAATTTAAAAAAAAAACTGTTTTTCACAGTTTTGGAGGCTGGAAGTCTAAGGTTAGGGTGTCAGCGTGGTCAGGTAAGGGTCCTCTTCCAACTTGCAGACTTGTCCTTGTGTCCTCACATGACAGAAGGAGGTCGGGAGTTCTGTGAAGTCTTTTTCATAAGAGCACTAACCCCATTCATGACAGCCCCATCCTCCTGACCCAAGTATCTCCCAAAGGCCCCCATCTCCTAATACCATCAGTGGGCATTAGGATTTCAACCTATGAATTTTGGGGGACACAAACATTCAGACTATTAACAAGGGGTAAAAAGACTGAGGAAGCACTATATTGAGCCAGTCCTTTTCTGGAAATTCATACAATCAATTGTCAGCTTAACATTTCTTTACAGCTATTTCAAAAGCATCTCCAACTCAGTATTCCAAACTGAATTCTTGATATATAAGGTCTTCCTCCAGTTTCTTATTTCAGTGAGTGGGATCACTATCCATTCAGCATTGTAAACCAGATTCTCCTCGACAATTTCCTTCACTCACATGCTCCCACAACATTCAATTCACCACTAAATTTTGTTGCTTTTAT